TTCCCAGATTAAGGTGCGTCATTATAATAAATTTATATGTCTAATGAAATGTGTCAAAGAGTGGGAAGATGGGTTAGCCTATGGGTAGATGGGTTAGGTGCATTGTTATTATAGATCGGAGTGCCAATAATTTTTTGGGGGGTTTCATATTAGAAAATTGATAATAAATTTTGGCACCAAAACTTAAATTTGGGGACAAAAAATTAGTTAAATTTGACAAACGCACCGTAATGATATAATAACTATATAATAAATTGGAAAATTCGCTTCTAAGTGAAGTACTTATATTTACTGATTATTTTTGATTATTTTTGCATGGTGGATATAAACGTTCTTACGAAGCTTTTGCGGTGGTTTTTTATTAGTGAAACGTTATGTTTCAGAAAAGCACTTTAAAGTGTATAAATAAGTTACCCGGGCGCTGATCTGGAATACCAAATTTGTGCTTTCTGATTGGCCATTTCCTTTTTAGGCAGCGATTCAGTAGTATTAAAAAGGAAATGCACGTAACCTTCGGATATATATAAATTCCAGATTCGAATGAAAATACTTGACGATACAGTGCAATATGATCACACTTCCAACAGACTGCTTGTATCAAATTTTCCAGCATTTTAAAGATGACTTTAAAACGTTACATTCATGTCTTTTATCCAGTCGTTCTTGTTGTGAGATTATTATTCCGATTTTATGGTCAGATCCTTGGAGACTAATTCAGAAAAAAAAATCTACGCCAGAAAAATATAGATTCTCTTCTATATCTCTTCTCTCAACATTATTATCTTGTTTACCATTTGAATCAAAGAGACTATTACATGATAACCATGTACATTGGATATCACAAACTACTTTTCTCAACTATGTCACTTACTGCCGTTCCTTGGATTTTTATGGTATTTGGGATATACTAGATGTAGATTCTGCGCAGCATCAACCATTTGGTATTCTTAGCATAAATATTAAAACATTGGTGGGCCAAGAAATTTGTAAGATGATAATTCTCCAAAGCACAAAGATAACTTATATGAATATCTCTGAAATGTCTTATTCACTTTTTGATTTATTCCAACATTTATCATTAAATGATTCTCAAAGTCTTTCACACCTTAATGAATTTAAATATCAAGTTACTGAAAATTCAAATATTCCTAATTTTTATAATATATTTAATGTATGCAAAAACATCTCCAATCTTATTATTGACTTAAGCACTACACCAAGTGAAAGTTTTATTGATTTTATTCGATCACAGAATGCTATCAAGTCTATGGATATCATTTTTGGATTTAATCCCCCTTCCAAATTAATTAATTCTTTATTATTACATGCTAATACTTTAACACATCTTTATGTTTCCTGTAGTTGTTATATAGCCTTTTCTAAAATTTTTTCAGCATATCCCACTTTTTCAAACCTAAGATCCTTAAAATATCGGCTTCGTGATGCTTATTACGAGGATGTTGAGGGTGTGAAAAAGATGAATATAAACTTACCAAATCTTGAAATTTTGGAATTAGAAAGTGATAATTCTTTTTCATATCAAATAATGGCTCAAATCATTCAAGGAACGAAAGGAAAGCTTGAAAGAATATACACGAGTTACCCAAATTATCATGAAAATCCGAGTATAATCAATCAATATATTCTTAAATCATGTCAAAATCTTAAAGTTCTTACTACTGCCGTTAATTATGCTACACTTGACATCTTTTTAGCAATATTAACTTCTTGTCAATATTTAGAAGGTATTGCATTATATACACGTACCGATGAATTTAATTCTATTTTAAATCATTTGTCTCTACACCCTTTAAAAAATTTATGTAATTTAAAGTTCTTTACCAATGACTCTTGTGAGACTTTTTCAACAAAAAGTATGAAATTATTTTTAAAAACTTTAGAAAAGGAAGAGTTAGTAAAGAAACTCAATTTTTCATTAATTTATAAACAGATTAATATAGATCTAGATAAGATTTTAGATCTTTTCGAGACATATTATTTAAAAGGAATAATTGCTTCGTATTTTATTGAAGAAGAAATTGATCTTATTGATGAATTTGATGATTGGCAAAGAATATTAATTTAATCTTTATTTTAATTATTCCTCTTTGAATTTTAACTTCAATAATCATTTCTATTATAAAATATATATATATAAATTTGAACATTAAAAATTTGTTGAATAAAAGTTTTTAATTATAATTATTATTAATATTGTATGTCAGAATGGAATCTTGTTAGATTTAGAAACAATATAATTTAATTTACGTGTAAGTTGAAACGAAATTTTAAATTAAAACAAATTGATAAAAATTTTTGAACTTAAAATTCTGATCCACTCAACACACCTTCAATTTTTAAATTAAAAGAATTTGAATTAATTAATACATAACAGTAATACTATTTAGGAATATATTCTATTGTAATCATGTATTTTTTTTTTTTTAGCTACATTAATTATCATATGCGTGATTGTTGGGATGTCAGCTATATTCGCATAACAAGTTTACCTTTTTACATTTGCAGAAGCCTTTTCACATTTACCTTGACAACTATATTTTTTTTTATTACTTTATAATACAATTGCCATTATATTTTAAGAAATTGCTATACATGATTTAGTAATACTACAATATTCTGTAAGCTGAATATTTACCAATAACGATCTCTAGAAATTTTGATAGTATATAGTTATTGGATGCGAAGCAGCCAATAACGGAAATTATTTGTAAAATAATTTCATTATCTGGCTGTGAA